TTCCATCAGGCCCCACAGAGTCATAATGGTCTCTGGGTCCATGAAGCCCCGCGGTGTCACCATGGCCCCTTGGTTCCATGGGCTCCAGTGGTGCCACAATGATCCCCTTGGTTCCATGAGGTGCCCACAGTGTCACAGTGATCTCCATGGGAAGGAAAGAACCGAGCCCCAGTGTGGCAGGGGCAGCCACCAGAGGCCAAGGCCAGCCAGGCTTGATGGTACTGGCAGATTTTGTCTGGGAGCAACCGTTGGATATAGGGAATTTTAGAGGTGGAATCCCACTTTCAGACATGGACACCCGGAGTTGAATGATGTTTTTTTTTCCAAAGGAAGGAAAGCACAGAACACCGGTGTTTGAGGGGCAGATGAAAGGCTGCCATCAGAGGTCTAGGCCAGCCAGACCTCTTTGCCCTGGTAGCTTTTGTCTGAAAGCAACCCTTGGATATAGGGAATTTGGGAGGTGGAACCCCAATTTTGGCCATTTCTGTGTAGATAAGAAGGAGAGTTCTTTTCCATAGGAAGGAAAGCACAGAGACCATGTGTTTCAAAGGCAGAAGAAGAAAGAGGTGGCTCCTGGGAGGCTCAGCCAACCAGACCTGTTCTTCCTGGCATGTTTTGTAATGGAGGAATTTTTGGATACATGGAATTTGGGAGGAGGAATCTCAATTTTGACCACGGTCACCTTGAGAAGGACAACTATTTACATTGGAAGGAAAGCACCAAGCCCCAGTGTTTCAAAAGCAGATGAGATGCATCTCTCAAGAGGCCAAGGGCAGCCAGACCTGTCTGTCCTGGCAGCTTTCACTTGGGAGCATTCCTTGGATGTATGGAGTTTTGGAGGAGGAATCCCAATTTTGGCCATGGAACCCTGGAGGAGAAGGACAGTTCTCTCCCATAGGAAGAAAAGCCCAGAGCCCCAGGGCTTCAGGGGCAGATGAGAAGCAGCCCTCGACATGCCAAGGTCAGCCGGACCTGTCAGGTGATCCCCAGGAGGCCCAGCCAGCCAGACCTGTTCCATGTTCCCTTGGTTCCATGGGACCCCACAGTGTCACAATGGTCTCCTTGGTTCCATCAGGCCCTGGAGTGTCACAATGTTCCCCTTGCTTCTGCAGTGCCACAATGGCCCCGTGCTTCCATGAGGCCTTGCAATGTCACAATGGCTTCGTGGTTCCACAAAGCCCTGATGTGTCACAATGGCCCCTGGGCTCCGTGTGCCCTCGCTGTGTCACAGCGGCTCCTCTGTGACACTGTGGGCTGCACAAGGTCACCATGGACCCTTGGTTCCATGAGGTTCCGTAGTGTCACCATGGTGTCCTTGGACCTGCATTGTCACAACTGACCTGTGGTAATCACATATCCTCTGAGCAGAGAGAGAGATCTCCCAGGATTTTCCTGGGAAGCTGTGAGAAGCTGTGAGAAAGCTCAGAGAAAAGAACAAGAAACAATTCTTATCTTCACTTGCTGCACCTGTTGTTGTGCACATGTGGAATGTGTTATGGAGATTTGTTTATCAAAGGGTGATTTCTAAATTGGCCAATGGTGATGGTGTTTGGATTTCAATTAACCAGTCTGGTCTGTCTGTATCGGACTGTCTGCAAGAGCGATGAGTGTTTCTTAGCAGTATAGTATAGGATAATGTAATAAAGTGATTGATCAGCCTTCTGGAATCATGGAGTCAGTGCTAATTATTACAGGCTGGGGACGCCCTGCTACGATAGTTATCTAAGTCAATCTTCCCTTACCTCTGAATGCTGAACAGAATAGGCTTAACAGGCATAGCAGGAACACCAACCACTGTAGACCCAAAGAGCTGGCTGAGGAGTTGGGAGAAAACTTCCCCTGGTGTCATTTCCTCATGGTAGGTACCATTATTAAAGTAATTCCAAACACATACAGTTAGTGTGTGGTAGCCTCAAATCTGTGTGCCCACCGTCCAGAGGAAATTAAAAATCCATAAATTCCTCACCATATTAACCCATCAAACAAATTGATTATCAGCCAGATTTGCCATAGTTATAGGATGGGAAAAATGTAGCCACAACCATGTGCCACCCAAACCAGGGTAAGCTAGACCACATGGTGACACCTAACAAGGTTTCTATATCCAGTGCAACAAAAAAAAATTATGTTACTCAAGAATTGTTATTCTTATTTCACCCTGTTTCTCTCAATGCCCTCAGGCTGCACATCGGGTGCCAAAACTGGTCTTGGTTTACAAGACAGGTGTCTGCTAGGGAAGGCAGCAAAAAGCCTCCTGTGGAATGGAGAATGTAAACCCCCTCCCTCCAAATTATTAGAATCATGAAATCAAGGGGCTCTCAGGCAGGCAAAGATATGGGAATAGGAATATCAGCTCTTTCCTAGTGTGTATAACAAAGCAAACAAGCAGCAGCAGCTGCGGCACGAACAGCAAACAGAGCAGAGCCCAGTCCCGGCCTTTGGGCCGTGGCGCTTTCCCTGCGGTGCAGTTCCGGGCACAGCCAGCAGGGGCGCTGTGGCTCCCGGGGCAGGGCAGGTGCGCTGACCCCCACGCGGCTGCAGGGGGCGCTCCGGCCGGGCTCGGCAGCGCGGGGCCATGGCGGCTTTGTCCGAAGGGGGAAGGGCTGGAGAGAGGCTTTGCTTCACAAACCCCGGGGCAGCCGGCTCCGGTGCCCCAGCAGGACTCTCAGAAAGCAGTCAGCTCGGTGCCCCAGCAGCACTGGCAAAAAGCAGTCAGCTGGGCTGGCAGGATGTCTCGGCAGGCAGGGGGTGAGGGGCTCCAAGCAGGGCAGAGAGAGCCCAGCTCAGGATCCTGGACACCAGAGCAGACAGGGATAGGTCTCTCTTTTAGTGGGGCAGGTGTAAATAAGGTCCCAGTTTAGTGGCTGTTCTCACAAGCAGAGGCTCATCCCAGGACAGAAGAAACAGCTCTGGCCCGGGCTCTGGCAGCAGCAGTGGAAACTCCCATCTCCAAGAGCAGCAGCTCCTCCCAAAATAAGGGATCAGCCGATAAACATCAGCCAATGATAAGGAACAAACAGAAAGGAAAAACCCAACCCCCAACACTGGTTTACAATTCCTAATGCTAAGGGAGAATTGTATAAAGTTTTAATTCCACCTTTATAATTGTTTACATACGAGATCTTGAATTGTCAGGGGTAGGGATTGGAACCTGCTGCTCCAAGGCTCCTCTCACAAAAAGAGGCTTAGAAAGGCTGGCGGTCCTTGGGGGTATTTGGGGATCTATAGGGGCTATTGGGGGTCCTTTCTGTGCCTCCTGACCTGACAGGAGCTTCTCTAATAAACTTTGCCTAAAGCTCCCAGTCTGCCCATGACAGGAGCCCCTGTGAGTGCCTGTGACATCCCGGCTCTTTGGCAGCCTGGGGACACTTAGAAAGTCCCCATGAAACCCCTCTGAGGGCCTGTCAAAATATCTGAACCTTAATATGCAAACTGTCGGCTCTTAACTGAAAGGTTGGTGGTTCGAGCCCAGCCAGGGATGCCATTTATGTCAGAATCTGTGGTATTTAAATGATCCCAAAATTGCAGAAATTTGCTGTCTTTGAGCCCCTCTGCCAAAGAAGAAGCCAAATTCATCTGTGCTGGTTTTCAAAGTTGTTTATTCTTGCTTATCTATAACATGTTCTGTCTGACCTGCAGTAGGCCTTTCTTGCGGGGCAGCGTGCAGGGCTCTGCCCCTCAGTGGGAAGTTACAAACATTATATACCAGAACCTACCTGTGCTATATTTACAATAATGTGCCAATACCTACCACCTCTGTTGAACAGTGTGTCCCCAGTCTAAACCAACAGAAAAATGCCAACACTACAGTGAAACATGAAAGGCATGAAAAAGATGAAAAAGGACAGGACACACACGATTTCCTCCATCTTGCCTCCTTTGAACCCCTTATCTAGAATCCTAAAATTCTACTTTTGCACCCATGTCACACTAATTATTACTCATATCAAACACTCAGAGTGTGTAATTCATCCTGTAAGATTGAAAATTCCTCTCCATGGACAGAGATTACAGGCAGTGTCTCTGGGGGCTCTGTACAGGGGGGTTCCTGACCCCTGCCAGGGTCCCAGACCTGCCAGGGCAGCCAGAGGGATGCCCTGGATTACCACAGCAAACCTCATCAGGACCCATTGCTATGGTCAGTTTCCATGGCAACCAGCACCAGCCCCTGTTGCTATGGTCAGTTTCCATGGCAACCATCACCAGCCCCTGTTGCTATGGTCAGTTTCCATGGCAACCATCACCAGCCCCCTGTTGCGATGGTCAGTTTCCATGGCAACCATCACCAGCCCCCTGTTGCGATGGTCAGTTTCCATGGCAACCATCACCAGCCCCTGTTGCTATGGTCCGTTTCCATGGCAACCTTCCCCAGCCCCAGTTGCTATGGTCAGTCCCTGGGCAGCTCCATGGAGACCCCATGCCAGGGGTGGTTGCCATGGACACCAGCTCAGGCCTGCAGCCAGAGCCCGTTTCCATGGCAACCATTGGCACTCCCATCCCCAGGGTCATGGGATCCCAGAACCACAGAAGTGGCTGAGCTGGGAGGGACCCATCAGGATCCTCGAGTCCCGCTGCTGGCCCTGCACAGGACACCCCAACACTGCCAGCCTGGGCCTGGCAGCGCTGTCCAAACGCTGCTGGAGCTCAGAGAGCCCTGGAGCTGTGACCCTTCCCTGGGGAGCCTGGGCAGTGCCCCAGCAGCCTCTGGGCAAAAACCTTTCCCTGAGATCCAACCTCAGCCTGCCCCGACTCAGCTGCAGCCGCTCCTTCCACTCCTGTCCCTGGGCACCAGAGTGAAGAGGTTCTCCCAGCCCCAGCCAGGGACCCGCTCCCAAGGCTGCTGCCATGGCCACCAGGGCTGGCACCAGCTGGGATGCTCGGTATCCACAGGCCGGGATTCAGGAATGGAATTCCCCAATTTCCTGCTCTCACTAAAACCCCGCTGGTGCTCGTTGCCCTCCCACCTTCCACTGAAGGAAAAAAATGGAAAGATCCCAGGCTGGGATAAGAACAATTTACTGGGAACAGCAACGAGATAAGGAACAAACTGGAACAGAAAAAATATTGACAACAGAAGGGATAAGAAAAACTATTTACAGGGGAAATTACATCACCATCAATTCTACCTTCCTGGCCACATGTCTCCTCCTGCCTGGAAAGGACAACCTTCTCAGGGAGAGAGAGAGAGAGTCCCTTTCCTGCCCCTGGCAATGACCTGAGGTGGGAGTGAATGTAGTGACAGGGCCATGGCCAGACCCTCATGTTCTTCAATCCCACATAAGGTCATTGGCAGGGGCAGGAGAAGGTACAGGTATCTTCCCAGCATGGATCACAGGTAACAGGGATCACCAGGGCTCTTCCCAATGTGGGTTCTTCAATGGGGGGTTAAGCTGGAGCGGTGCATGAAGCTCCTCCTGCAGTTGGGGCACTCACAGTGCTTCCGTCATCGGTGGCTCCGTTGGTGTCGGGTCAAGTGAGAGCTCCGGGTGAAGCTCTTCCCACACTGGGGACACTCGTAGGGCCTCTCCCCAGTGTGGATGCGCCGGTGGCTGATGAGGTGCGAGTTTTGCTTGAAGCCTTTCCCGCAGTCAGAGCAGAGGAAGGGCCTCTCCTCGGTGTGGACCCGCTCATGCAGGAGGAGATCTGAGCTGCTCTGAAACCTCTTCCCACATGTAGGGCACATGTAGGGCCTCTCCCCAGTGTGGATGCGCCGGTGGGTGACAAGGGTGGAGTTTTGCTTGAAGCCCTTCCCACAGTCAGAGCAGAGGAAGAGCCTCTCCTCGGTGTGGACCCGCTCATGCAGGAGGAGATTGTAGCTGGTGTGAAACCTCTTCCCACATGTGGGGCACATGTAGGGCCTCTCCCCAGTGTGGATGCGCCGGTGGGTGACAAGGGTGGAGTTTTGCTTGAAGCCCTTCCCGCAGTCAGGGCAGCGGAAGGGCCTCTCATCCGTGTGAATCCGCTGATGTTCAAGGAGATGGGAGCTGGTGTGAAACCTCTTCTGACACTCAGGACACTCGTAGGGCCTCTCCCCAGTGTGGATGCGTTGGTGGATGATTAGGTCGGAGCTGCAGCTGAAGCCCTTCCCACACTCCCCACACTCGTAGGGCCATTCCCCAGTGTGGATCATCTGATGTCGCTTCAGACTTTTGCTCCGCCTGAAGCTCTTCCCACACTCCAAGCACTTGTGGGGCTTCTCCCCATCGTGAAGCTTCTCAGGGACCACCAGCTCTGAGCTCTGGCTGAAGCTCTGCCCACCTTCCTGACCCAGAGTGGGCCTTTCCTCCTCAGAGCACCCTGGGCTGGGTTTCCAGCCCCTCCTTGTGTGGGATCTCCGGGGCTTTTCCTCCCTGTTGGATGCTTGCGCTGTGGAGTTGCTCAAAACGGCCTCTTCCATGAGGTTGTGCTGCAGAGATTTGTCCTTCCTGGTCTCCATCATCAGCTCCTGCTCTGGGGTAGGAAGGACAAGGAGAGGATGGGATTTGCCTCCGTGCCACAAGGAAGGGTAAGGAGATCCCCCCAGTGCATCCCCGTCAGCAGAGCGTTGGCAGCGGGGCTGTCCTGCAGCCGGGGGCCGTGCTGGGCCGGGAGATGGAGCAGGAGAGAGGGGGAAAGGGGCACTGACTTCCTCCTCACCTGCCTGGATGTCCCAGGGCGCCTTCCTCTTCCTCACATTCTCCTCCTCCATTTCATGAAGATTTGGGTATGGGAAATTCTGTTTTGGGAGGAAAACAAGGGATGAGCACAGTGAGTTTTGTACCGGTTTGAAGGCAAACCAGGGGGAGAGTCTAAGCAAGAATGACAATTGAGGAAGAAAATTAAGATCAAGGCAATGATACAGAAACACTGGTTTAAACTCACAGAGTCAGGATATAACCTGACACCCCGTTGGTCAGGGTGGTGGTAGCAGTCTGATGAAATGGTGGCTGCAGTCCGGCTGGAGTGATGAACGTGATTCTGTCAAAGCGGTGATCCTGTAGAAGGGTCTGGTCTTCCTCTGAAGGTCCAGTGGTGGTTATGGAGCTCTTGTCCTCTGGGAATGCAGTAGGCAAGGTGGTCGTGGTGTTGCAAGGGTGAGATTATATCCAGGTAGGAATGCTTGGTTCCTCCCCCTGGGCGGAGCATCCCACAATGGGATGATGTAATTTTATCAGTCCTGCAGTGACACTCAATGGCCCATTAACAGAAGATGGCCCCTGGAGGGCGTTATCAGGGCTGAGCCATGGAAGAGATAAAGAACACTGCCCCACCTGTTGATAACAGTTTATGAAGATGGTGACTGAAAACACTTTTGGTTACATCTGACATTGTAACCTGAAACAGTGAGGCAATCCCTGCTCGGGGTGGGGGGTGAACACCACCTCCCTTACCCAAACTGGCTCAGGTGTAAAACCCCCACCCTGGGAAGGACACGCACACAGGGGACAATGTCACACTTGCCCCACCCCAGGGGAGATCTCTGTCCCTGTCACTCCCTTGCTCTCCCCCTTTTCTCTTTCTTTCCGTCTCTCTCTCTACCTCACATTTACTGTTCAATAAAATCCACTTTGGATTTGGTCTCCTTAGCACCTTCATTGGGGCAGAGGCATCTCTCTAAAAATTTTATTAACCAGATTGCGACATTATTTTGGCACAGTGAGTTCAGGGCACTGCTGTCTGACCCCAAGTACCTTTGACAACAGCATGGGTCTTTCCTCTGCGAAGGTTCTGCCTCTTTCTGGAGGAACTCTTGGAAACTTGGATGCAGCTTCCTCTTTGTGACTTTTGGGAGAACTTATGAGGAAAATGGCTGTTGTGGGTGGCCAGTGTAAAGAAAGTATTTTCTTGTCCTTCCTTGAAAAATTTTTTAAAATAACTGGAGAAAAGGGACCAAATGATACTAGCAAGACTGACAAGGATCATTCACCCCAATGTGAGGAACTCAAGACCAGTAAATTCCTACAAGAAGCCCAGTTCAAGTAGATAAATTCCCAAGTAACTCCTGAATTCACAGCTCTGGGGACTTTGCCAAATATGAGAATCATTATTTTCTTTGTCTCTGTGTCATGGTTTGATACTGGTACAATGCTAGTGCTCTTTATGAAAATGTAATCTTTTAATTGAATGCTGTGAAATGTGATTGAGAACAGAGCAAAGCAGGCTTAAGCTTAATAACAAGAAAAAAACTTTATTAAACTATTATTACTACGTTATTATAAAAGAGGGGGAAAAAAAAGAAAACATATATAATTTAAAATGAAAACTTTTTAAAGTATTCTTTTTTTCACTATTTAACTTTAATAAATTACAGTGAGACACAATTTGGACTTCAATTAGGTTTCTACTTTCTAGATAATTAACACTTAGTTTATTTGCAGGGAGAGAGAAGTCTCTCTTGTGCTACAAACATCTTAAGAAATATAGCTGCTACATCTTGTGCTTTTATGTCACCACATGGCACTGCTCGGAGAAAAAAGTTTGTTAGTGGTGACTCTTTCTTTTTTATGTACGGTGCTCTTACTACTAATGTATGGATGGACAGACTGTTTTTTAGGATTTTTTTTTTTAAGGATGCCCTGCCAAGAGGGGAAAAAATAACAGTTTAGTTTTTTATTTTTGGGATTAACAGTCCCCCCCATTTTCCCCTGGGGCTGAGGATCTACGAATAGAGATCTTCTTTTCTTTTTTTTTTTTTTTGACGACAGGGGGCACTACTATAAACTTTTTTTAACTTTTCTTTGTTCGCTCTACTTCCGTCTTTTCCCAGCTGAAGCATGGTTTCTTTGGCTTACCAGCATCTTCTTAAAATATAGTCTTTTTTTGGAGGAGAAGATCAGTTCAGTCTGTGGCTACTAAGAAAAAGTTTAGCTAAAAGCCATTCTATTGTTTCTTCTCACTTAGAATTTCTTTTTCCAACATCCCAGGTTCCAGGCTGTCTCTCTTCCTCTCTTTTTAAACTAAGGAGGAGAAAAATTTTATAAAGCTTTTATTTTTCAGGAAGGGTTAAAAGTCTTGACTCCCAGAGATGGCTTGCTGCCCAGGCTCCAGCTCTCACAGCCCGGCTGGGCACCTTGCCGCCCCCCACTCTTCTCTTTCTCCGCGGCAAACTGCTGATAAAACTACTGCCGTCTCTCTTCTTCTCTTGGGAGAGAGAGAGACTCTGGGGAGAACGGAGACATCTTAGATTTTTTTTACCCTTTTATCCGCAGGGGGTTCTAGTCCCTCTACTCTTGGGCCTACCTCTGAAAGCCACATGGCTTCTCCCCTCCCCCACCCAGCTCGTTGCTGGGCAGGGGAGAGTCCTGCACGGACCGCTGACCAGAACCCAAGAGAGAGCCAGTTTTTTTGGGAATTTTGCTTTTAACCCCTCTGTGTTCTCAGAGGCGTGTCTACCTTCAATTGGTCAATGTCTAAATTGACTTCTTTTTTCCGGAAAATTTTTTTTTCCGTGTCAAACTACGACACTCTGTCACCTTTGTGACAGCTACACAGAGCTTTCCCTTCCCTTTATTAATCTGTACTGGGCCAAATTTCCACTTTCCTTTTATCGGAACCTGCCAGCAGCTGAGCTGAAGCCGTGCAGGAACTGATGAAACTTGGATTTGCCACAGAATTGCTTCTATTTTCAGTTTATTCATGTTTGGGATTTGTTTGTGTTTCCATCACAAGTGACTTGTGGGAAGAGCAAATCTTCCTCAAGGCATTTTATGGAGGGTTAAGTTTGATTTCTGCCAAGTTTGTTTTGTCCAGTGCTAAGGGGATGCTCAAGGGGTATCTGGTTTTGGTTTGGCCCTAATTTTCTTCTGATTTGTCTTTATCACTTAAAAACACCTGAAAAATGACTAAAAAGAGTATTGACCAGAGATGTCAAAAGTCCCACCATTTAAGAGGTATTTGAGGTGGGAATTATGGTCTGGGAACATATTCTGGGGGATTTGTGGGTTCTTGGGGAATATCTGGTAGTATTCTCCATATCTTTGCACTCCAAAAGCCGAGGTGGATTGCTCTGTCACCTCAAAATTACTCAATGCCACTGGAAACACCTCAATCTTACCCCAAATTTACTCAATCCCACGTCAAAGTGGCTGTTTCCCACCTCAGTCCCATGCCAAAATTACTCAATTCCACAGCCTCCAGGGTTAGATGGGGTTGGAAGGAGATTGAGAGAAGTAAGATCCAAATTTGAGGTTGTGGGATCAGGATTGTATGGGGCTGGGTGGGTGTGATTTATTTTGATAATAAATAAAACTTTCAGAATTATTGATTTCTGTTCCATTCATTTTCTGTCAATTTTGGTTTGCTTTTCAGAGTGCCGCCTTCTCAGCTGATTTTGTTTCTGTCCTCCTGTCCCAGACTGAAAAGCAAGATGTGTTCTATTTCCCATCTGTTTGGCAGTTGTCCTGTACTAAGTGGGCAGTTTTTCCTTATCTCTTCCACAATCAATCCTCAGTCAGGGGAGACATCTGCTGATAATGGGCTATTGAATGTCACTGCATGACTGATAAGAACTGTAACATCCCATTGTGAGATGCTCCGCCCAGAGGGAGGAGCCAAGCATTCCTACTTGCATCTAGTCTTGAGATTCTGGCCCTCCAACACAGCTTTTTCTGGGCTGGATTTCTCAGAGGAACAGCTGCCTCTTCCTCTTCAGAAGAAGACACCCTTTTCTACAGTATCATTACTCCAACAGAACCACACCTGACACTGCAGGAGGACTGCAGCCACCATTCCAATTGGACTGCAGCCAACACCCTGTCCAACAGAGTGTCAGGTTGTATTCTGGCTCTCTCAGTGTTGTTTTGGTTCACTGCATTGTTCATATTCTCATTTTCTTCTCTAATAAAAAGCTGTTATTCCTGCTCCCATATTTTTACCTGAGAGCCCCCTTTAATTTCAAATGTATATCAATTCAGAAAGAAAGAGTCTACATTTTTCCATTTCAGGAGAGGCTCCTGCCTCCCTTAGCAGACACGTGTCATTCCAAACCAAAACACCTCCTTTCTCTCCTGCCTTCCTTTGCCGGCTCTTTTTCTCTCTCAGTGTCTCCCTTGACCCAGGGCAGCTCCCACCAAAGACCCTGTCCTGATTTAATTCCCAATCCATGAGCTACGACAACCATGGGTGAAGTTATGAAGGCTGGCAGTGAAATGTCCCTGTAAGATCTTGCTCCACTTGGCTTTTGGCTCTTCCATAAGAGCTTTGCCTTCAAGGGCAGGGACATCTTTTCCTGGCTGGGAACTGGAATTCCAGCCTGTCCTGGTTCAGGTCAAATTTGGGGAAAGAACCCTAAAAGGTTTTCCTTTAGGAAAGCAGACTCAATTGGCCCTTCCCCCCCCGCAACCAGTTCGGGAAGGATACTTCTTTGGGGGAAAGTGGAAAAAACCTGTTTATTAAACAAGCAATTTTAAACAATATTAAACAATAAAACTTCTCGCCACTCCAAGAGAGAGACAAACTCAGGAAAAATCCCCCGGGTTGCAGCTGGGCTCACTCAGTCTCTGATCAGTCCCTCCGGCGCTGGAAATGCTGCGGTCCAGGCCCGGCCCGCTGGGCCACAGTTGCGAGCTGCCACTGCTCTTCTGGGTGTTCAGTCCAGAGCAGGTCCAGAGAAAGGGAAAAAAACTACAGTCCAGGGAACTTCTTTGCCTCAGCTAGCTAAAACTAACTAGGAAAAGAAAAAAATAAAACAAAGGAGAGCTCTCTCTCGCTGTCTGTCCATCCGCAGACGACACAGTCCAGGAGCAGGAATGTGGAGGAGGGAGTGCAGTTCTTGACAACAAACTCCGTGCTTCTTCCCCCACCCCGCCCCCCTTCACTCCTGGAACAAGTCTTAAAGGTGTAGAACTTATTATTCAACATAAACAGGGCAGATGATTGGGGATAAAGGCATCATACAGTCAACCTAGGACAGTGGCCATGGAACCTAGGTTCTGCCATGGAACCTCATGGAACAAAGGGACCATGGTGACACTGTGGAACCAGGGAGACTGTTTTTGGCAGTAGGAAAGCTCATGGAACCCCAAGTCCATTGTGACACAGCAAGGCCTCATGGAGCCAAGGGACCATTGTTAAACTGTGCGGCCTCATGGAACCATGAGCCATTGTGACACAGCGTGGCACCTCATGGAGCCAAGAGTCCATTGTTACACTGTGGGGCCCTGTGGAACCAAGGGGACCACAGTGACTTTCTGGGGCCTCATGGAACAATGGAGACTGTTCTGACTCTTTGGGACCCACTGGAACCAAGGGGCCATTAGAGCATGGCAGGGCCTCATGGAATCAAGGGGACTACAGTGTCACTTAGACCTCGTGATTTAACCTTACTTACAGGCCTGACTGGCTCAGCTACCCAAGGCACTCAGACCCCTCAGAGAACAGCATTTCTGCCACATTTCCCCAGCACAGGCACTCCTGTGTGCACACAGACACAGAGAGTCAGTGCAGGGCACCTGTGAGAAATTCCCCTGAGGGCAGGGAAATGCTCCCTGTGGATGCTTTGGCATCTCCCCAGCAGGGAAGGGTTGAGCCTGGAGGAGTGGGGGGATCAGCCCAAGCTCCCTCGTTGTTCGGGATCCCCCGAGTGCAGCAAACGGGAGAGTTCCCGGCGCGGAGAGGCCCCACTCAGAGGGAGTCGCTGGCCCAGGAGAGCTCCAAGGGCTCCTTTTGGAGCGCTGTTTGTAGGGCCCCAAGAGAGCGGCTTCAGTCCCAGCCATGTTTCACCCTGGCCACACTTGGCATCAGCAGCTTTCTTTGGCAGGGTGAGAACAGGGATGTTGTGCCACTGAGGGAACACAAACAGTTCCCTGGGAACTGTTTGTCCTAGTTTAGGGCAAATTTGGGGAAAACCCAGGAAATAAACCCCCACGGCCCCTCTCCACCCACCTGGTTCAGGGAAAAATTTCCTCTGAGAGAGAAGTGGAAAAGAACCTGTTTATTCAACAAACAAAGCACTCCCCAGCACCAAAACAATTAACAACACCAGATGACAACAAAACTCTTTCACCCCTCTGAAGAGATGAACAAATCCAGAAAGTCTTTCCTGGGAGTGGTCGCCCGGGTCTGGACGCTGGGGATTGCTCTCCAGCACTGGGGATGGCTGCTGCAGATCACAAAATGCAGGCTCCTGGTGTTCCTTGGTGTTTCCCAGATCCCAGTCCAGAGCAAGTTGGATGATATTCAGAAAGAGGAAAGGAAAAAAGCAACAGTCCAGGGAAAGAATTGGACTGCTTAGCTAACCTAACTAGGAAGCAAAGCAAGAAAGCAGGCAAAGCAAGCAAGCCAAGCAAGCAAGCAAGCAAAGCAAAAGCCAGCCAGCCAGCACCAGCCTTTTCTAGACAGCAGACCATGGGGGGAGGTGAACCAGATGATAACACGGCAAAACAAACCTTCACTTTCAGAGTCAGTTCTGAAAGCACAGAACATAATATCAAACGTAAACAGAACACACGATTGGAGATACAAACACCATAACAGTCACCCTAGGACACCAGGGCTGCTCCTAAAGCAGCCAGGAGCTGGTTGGGCAGCAGCAGTGCCTGGAGCAGACAGGGTTTGTGATGAGCTCCAGAGGAGCTGAGCCCAGGGGCTGCTGGCCAAGGCCGAGGCCCAGCGAGCATTTCTCAGCTGGCAGGGCGGCCTGAGAAGGGGAGGGGGGAATGCACCAGCACAGGAACCATGGAACCAAGGGACCATTGTGACACTGTGGGGCCCTGTGAGACCAAGGGACCATTGTGACACTGTGGGGCCTGTGAGACCAAGGGACCACTGTGACACTGTGGGGCACCATGGAACCAAGGAGACCATTGTGACCCTGAGGGGACTCATGGGATCATGGAGACCATTGGGACACTATGAGGCCCCATGAAATAAGTAAATCATTGTGACACTGTGAGGCCTCATGGAACCAGGAGGCTTTGGTGGCACTGTAGGGCTGTGTGGAACCAAGGGTACAGGGTGACACTGCAGGGCTCATGGAACAGAGGAGTCATTGGGACACTGCTGGACCCCATGGAATCAATGCATCATTATGACACTTCGAGACCCCATGGAACCAAGGGAACCTGGAACAGGTCAGACTGGTTTGGCCTCCCAGGGGGAGTGGGGAGGGGGGGATCAGGTCAGGCTGATCTTGGAATGTCAAGGTCTGCCTCTCATCTGCTGCTGAAACACTGGGGCTCCCTGTTTCCTTCCTGTAGAAAAGATCTGTCCTTCTCCTCCTGGCAAACATGGCAAGAATTCAGATTTCACCTCCAAATTTCCTTATTTCCAGGGATTGTTCCTATAGGAATATTGCCAGGACAAGTCTGCCTTGCAATGGTTTCACAAGGCTCACCTCCCATCTGTCCCCAAAACACTGGGGAAGGCTCCATGCTTTCCTTCCTATGGGAAAGACCTGTCCTGCTACTCCAGCCACCCATGGCCAACACTGGGGTTCCACTTCCAAAATTCCCTGTATCCAAAGATTGCTCCCAGACAAAATCTGCCATTACTGACGAGTTTGGCTGGCCTTGGCCCAGTGAGGCTCTCACCTGCCTTCCACGCCCTGTGGCTCTGTGCTTTCCTTCCTATGGAAAAGAACTGTCCCTCTCATCCAGGTGTCCATGGTGTAAGAGATAGTCCAAAGTTTCCCTCATGTGCCTCACGACCTTTGCAAGGACAGAGACTCAGACCCTGCAGACCCTGAGTGCAGTTCTGGCCTGGTTGAGGTGGATTCTCACCAGGTGATTGTTTGCAGGTGTGTTTGCTGTGCTGCCACGCTGCACGGCTCCTGGCAGGGCCTGGCAAGGAGCGGCGTGCTCTGTACACTTAAACCTGCTGCACGATCCCCACTCACCACAACAGGGTTAATGAGGGGTTAATTTCCCCACCTCTCAGCTTTGGTGATCCCCCATGGAAGATCCCTCATCTGCCTCATGACCACCGTCAAGGACGGAGATTGAGGCCCCCTCCCACGGGCTGAGACTGAGACCCTTAAAATTCTAACACAGGGCGCTGGCCTGACGGAAGCGGGATGTCTGCCAAGTGTTCCCTCAGGTGTGATCGCTGGACCAAGACTGGTTTCCCATGGCAAGGAGTCCTGAAACAATGGGTCCTGCTCGCTGCCGGGACTGGTTTGTCCAGTTCGGAACTGCACTGTCTGTGCTTGTTCTCAGCTTATTCTCCACTGCCCTGTACCTGCTCCCTCAACTATAATAGACCCCTGAGTTAACCAAAGACTTTGAGATTCTCCCCGATGTGACAATACAGATCTGTTGGCTGGACCACGAGGATTTCGTCTCTCTGTTGGTAGCTATTTCCCCTTGCCCTCTTTCTCTGTCTCTCTATCCTTTATCTCCTTCCTAACCCTTCTATCCCATCTGCTGAGGGCATCAATAAAAGGTGCATTTGCTTTCAGTGATATTGGAAGTCCCCCTGCTGTGTGTCCTTTGCACTCTGAGATGGGTAAAATGAAACATCAGGACCCCCACTTGTACCAGCGGATCGTGGCAGCCCAGCACCCTAAATGGGGAGAGCCAAGAGGGGGGAGCTTTTGGGATTGCTGGGACTCCCGGCAGCCTGGGGAGGGCGGGCAGCGAGGAGAAGGGGGACCCCCAATCCAAGTGTGACCCCAGCAGCTGGGACAGGGGGGAGCCCCGAACAGCAAAGGGGAGGGAGCAGGGACGGGGAACTCCTGGGAGGCTTTTTCAGGGCTGGATCTCGGTGTTTGGGAGGTTTTTATGGAGCCCAGGTGGCCAGGGACTTCTAGGGATGGACTGGGACAGAGGGACCCTCAAACTCAGCGTACTCATCCCTTGTTTTTCCCCAAACTAGGATTTTCCATTCCCAGCCCCTGGGAGGCTGCAAGGAAGAAGAAGATGTCCCAGGACACCGAAGCAGGTGAGGAGGAAGTCAGTGCCCCTTTCCTCCTCTCTCCTGCTCCATCTCCCAGCCCAGCCTGGCCCCCGGCTGCAGGACAGCCCCGCTGCCGGTGCCCTCCTGCCGGGGATGCACTGGAGGGATCTCCTTGCCCTTCCCTGTGGCACGGAGGCAAATCCCATCCTCTCCTTGTCCTTCCTCCCCCAGAGCAGGAGCTGAGGATGGAGACCAGGAAGGACAAATCCCTGCAGCACAACCTCATGGAAGAGGCCATTTTGAGCAACTCCACAGCACAGGAATCCAACAGGGAGGAAAAGCCCCGGAGATCCCACACAAGGAGGGGCTGCAAACCCAGCCCAGGGTGCTCTGAGGAGGAAAGGCCCACTCTGGGTCAGGAAGGTGGGCAGAGCTTCAGCCAGAGCTCAGAGCTGGTGGTCCCTGAGAAGCTTCAGAATGGGGAGAAGCCCTACAAGTGCTTGGAGTGTGGGAAGAGCTTCAGGAAGAGCTCCCACCTGATCAGGCATCAGATGATCCACACTGGGGAATGGCCCTACGAGTGTGGGGAGTGTGGGAAGGGCTTCAGCTGCAGCTCTGCCCTTGTCACCCACCAACGCATCCACACCAGGGAGAGGCCCTATGAGTGTCCCGAGTGTCAGAAGAGGTTTCAGACCAGCTCCCATCTCCTCCGGCACCAGCGGATTCACACGGATGAGAGGCCTTTCTGCTGCCCCGACTGCGGGAAGGGATTCAAGGAAAACTCCACCCTCATCACCCACCGGTGCATCCACACTGGGGAGAGGCCCTACGAGTGTGGGGAGTGTGGGATGAGCTTCAGCCAGAGATCCAACCTGATCCGCCACCAGAGGATTCACACTGGGGAGAGGCCCTATGAGTGTGGGGAATGTGAGAAGAGCTTCAGCCAGAGATCCAACCTGATCCACCACCAGATGATCCACACTGGGGAACGGCCATACAAATGTGGGGAATGTGGGAAGGGCTTCAGCCGAAGGTCCCAACTGATCACCCACCAAATGATCCACACTGGGGAGAGGCCCTTCGAATGTCCCGAGTGTAAGAAGAGGTTTCAGGCCAGATCAAATCTCCTCCTGCACTGGCGGATCCACACTGGGGAGAGGCCCTACGAGTGTCCCCAGTGTGGGAAGAGCTTCTCCAGGAGCTCTCACTTGACCAAACACCAACGGAGGCACCGGTAAGGGAAGCCCTGTGAATGCCCCTGTTGAGAGTTTAGCTGAAGAATGGCTGCGCAGCAAGGGACACGAAAGGGTTAAGTTGATGAGAGTGTGAGAATACGTGACATGTAGCATGAAAACTATGCCCTTGAGAAACAGATGTTTTCTATCAACCTTGAGAGCCAGACATCTCCTAACAACCTTGAGTATACAGATGTCTCGATAAAAATGAAATATTGCTTGGTATGCAGAAAAGTAATCAAGTATAAAGAAACAGTAACCGCAAGGCTTATCGCAAAGAGATATATGTGTTAATAGAAAGGTAACCAATCCTGAGCTTCGCTTTTGCAATCCGTATGAACTAGTTAGTGCTTGTATAAAGAAACTGTAATCGACTCCAATAAACTGAAAACTTGTTGACCATGATATCATGAGACTCGTTTTCCCGCGACACTCTCACCAACAATTGGCGCCCGAACGGACGGGACCCCCCCCCGCCTGGATCTGTGAGACGTTGCGTTGGGTTCGGGTCCCGCAGCTAGACGGACGGCGATTAAGCTTTACCTGGAGCCGCGCCCTGAGTGACCGCAACGGTGAGCTCAGCCGATACGTGCTGCCGAAGCCTGGAGGGGCTGCAACAGCGCTGACGTGAGTATGGATAGGCAAGCAGCATATGACCTTTTCACCTCCTTTCTCAGATGGAGGCAATTTAAGGGGCTTGATTTAGATAAAGATCTCCCTGCTTTATTGCAGCATGCAGCCTCGTATTCCTTTTTCTCAGACCCGCATACCGTACATGAATTAGGGGAATGGCGAAAATATGGGGATAAGTTGTGGGAATTAACGTTAGACGATGATAAACCCGCAAAGAAAATGAGCAAGGTATGGAAAGTAATTCACAATGAGTTGTTAATGTTCCAAGCGGAAAAAAGGGCAGCTGAGGGAGTAAAGACAGCACAAGAGCGTAATCGCGATTACGGTTTACCGGCAGATCCTAGTGCTCCAAATCCCCCCTTTTTTACGATGGTTAATGTGCCTTCATCCGTGCCATCCGCCCCCCCCCGCCGAGCCGCCGAGTATCGCGATCCCCGGGAATGCTCACCACAACCCCCCTCCCCCACCTCGGGCAACTGTTTCTCTCAGTAGCCAGGAGCCTGTCCCTGGGGCAGAAGCTGACCTCGCGGAGGCCATGGCCAGGGAGAGACGTGAAATCTGGAGCACGCTCGCCCGTGAGGGGATGGAAAAGGGGGACGCTGATCTTGTTGCAGCAGCTCAGGAGACCTTAGCGTTTCCAGTCATTTATACGCCTAACCCGCAGGGGGGTGGGCAACAGGCACAGGTGCAAAATTTAGATTGGAAAATGCTGGCCCAGTTGCGTGCCACAGTGGGGAATTATGGAGTTTCTAGTGAACCGGTTAAACAGATGCTCGATTACATGTTTAATGCCCAAGTGCTGTTGCCTGCAGATATCAGAGGCATTGCCAAATTGATTTATACCCCACATCAACGACTGTTGTTTGAAGCGCACTGGAGAGAGGAGGCTGCATTGAGTGTAAATCTCCCAAGGGCCCAGGGGGATGCCTTGACAGGGATCACGGTTGATGAACTAATAGGGCAAGGCGCATTTCTGAGAGTTGAGACCCAAGCAGCTTTAGGACCCGACAAACTCAGGGAAGCTATGACAGTGGCCAAAAGAGCGATGGATAAAGTTAAAACCCTGGGAGGGATACCTATATATATGGGAATCAAACAGGGTAGAGACGAGCCCCTTGGTGCCTTTGTAGATAAGATCATGGATGCATTGTCTAAAGCGGGAGTACCAGATCATATGCAAGACGCCCTGCTAAGACAATGCATCCTACAAAACGGCAATCCCACCACTAGAGCCTTGATTAATTCGACCCCGGGGGATTGGAAGGTGCAGGACCTATTAGAAAAGGCTGCCTCTATGCCGACTGGCCCCCAGGTATTTTTAGTAAATGCTCTGCAGAAAATAGGAGAGGGATTACAGGAACAAGCCATAGCCCTGCGTGAGCAAACTATTAGCTCTCAAAATCAAGTCATGGCAGCTCTTGCTCCCCTCCAAGCGGCAGCCGCACACCCCCGCTCGACCAACGCTGGCAGCAATCGAATGAAGTGCTACCGATGTGGAAATGTAGGTCACATCCGCCGAGAATGTGGAGCTACGGGAGTATGGTGCAATAAATGCCAATCCAACACGCACAACTCCACTGCTTGTCGAAGGAAGCAGGGAAACTCGAAGAACAGCGTGAGCAGCGGCCGCGCAGGGACACAAATGGCAGCTGCACTGTCAACACCCCCCGACAACTCAAACCAGCAACAACCGGGAGCCTCGGCTTGGACCTGGCAGCCTCAGTAGATGTTGACATCCTTTCCACTCACTTGCATAAGGTTCCCACTGGACTTTTTGGCCCTATTTTTATAAATGGCCAGCCAATAGGGGGCTTGATAATTGGTCGCTTCTCTGCTACTACTCTGGGTCTGTATGTTGAGCCGGGGGTTATTGACTCTGATTGTAAAAGTGAACTTATGATTATGGTCCATACTCTGTATCCCCCCGTGAAAGTACCCAAAGGGCAGAGACTAGCCCAATTGATTCCGTTGCCTCAAATGACCAAGGGACTAATGTCCCTTACACAAGAGCCCAGGAATGAAGGGAGCTTCGGATCTACGGGAGGCCTAACCTTGCTCACCATAGACCTCAATACTCGACCTAAGAAGTCCTGTCGTCTGACTTATCAAGGACGCAGTATCACACTTAAGGGACTCCTCGATACAGGTGCTGACTCGAGTATAATTGATCCTGCACACTGGCCTTCCACCTGGCCAATACAGCCCTCAGCAACCACTGTCACTGGCATCGGAGGAATGACACTGGCTAATCGTACCCCTGTACTGACAGTCGAGATTGAAGGGAAACAAGCATCGACAGCATTTTCTATAACAACACTGCCACCTACTGTTCACTGCCTAATTGGCCGTGATATTCTTGCTCAACTGGGTCTTGTCCTCACTAATGATCACCCTTTACAGTAATGGTCATTGCTTGGACTTTCCCACTGCCACTTACTTGGATTACTGATAAACCTGTTGTGGTTAAGCAATGGCCTCTAAAACGGGAAAGTTTGGAACAGGCACACCTTTTGGTTATGGAACAATATCAACAAGGACATGTTAAGCCCTCCACCAGTCCCTGGAATACTCCAATATTTGTAATCAAGAAGAAATCCGGAAAGTATAGGCTGCTGCACGACTTGAGAGCAGTAAATAATCAAATGGAACCCATGGGAGCGCTTCAACCTGGACTGCCTAACCCAGCTATGATACCAAAAGACTGGCCCATCCTTATAATAGACCTGAAAGACTGCTTTTTTACCATTGCATTGCATCCTAATGATACCAAACGGTTTGCATTTACGCTTCCTGCCCTTAACCATGGAGAACCTGACAAAAGATTTGAGTGGACAGTTCTACCACAAGGAATGCGCAACTCGCCTACACTTTGTCAACTGTATGTCGATGCTGCACTACAACCACTACGACGAAAAATGCCTGCTACCATTGTTTACCATTATATGGATGACATCCTGCTCGCTCAAAGAGAACCCTTTACAGCCTCACAATTCGAAGATGCTACAAGGATCCTAGCAGATTTTTCCTTGGTAGTAGCTCCAGACAAAATTCAGATGTCAACCCCTTGGAAGTATCTAGGGTGGACAATCACAGAACAGAAGATTATGCCTCAAAAATTTTCCATACAAATATCAATAACAACATTGCATGAGGCCCAAAAGCTTCTAGGTGACCTACAGTGGCTGAAGCCAGTCACCGGCATCCCTAATATCTTATTAGACAAATTGCGTCCGCTACTGAAAGGCACCGACCCTTGTGCCCCTGTTCATCTCACCCAAGCTCAGCAAGATGCACTTCAGAAAATTATGCATTGCATATCTACAGGATTTGTCACAAGGATTGACCCTGATCTCCCCCTGCATCTTACAATTTGGAATACTGAAGACCACCTACTAGGAGCTGTTACTCAGCAGTTAGAGAAAACAGGGGAGACAGCAGTACTGGAATGGCTGTCACCTCCATTGCAACAAAGAAAAACTATAACTTCAAAAATCGAAAATTTGGCATTGCTGATCAAAAAAGGACGCATCCGCATTCTGGAAATCAGTGGCCTGGAACCAACGGACATTAATCTGCCCATAGAAAAGGCCACGTTAGATTGGTACCTTTTAAACTCCACAGCCCTGGCTGAAGCATTATTGTCATCTGCAGCACAAATCAATACCGGTCCCCTTATACCGAAACCTTTGCGATAGCTAGGAGAATGGAGCTGGCTACAGAAACCCCTCAGAGAAGACAGGCCCATTCCAGATGCCACTACGGCTTTCACAGACGCTGGAAAACGCTCCAGGAAGGCGGCAGTAGTCTGGAAAAAGGGACAACAATGGCATCAACAAATATTAGAGGCAACATCAGAGGACAATTTGCAGACTTTGGAGTTGTTGGCAGTCATTTGGGCTGTAACTAACTTGCATGAACCATTGAATGTTGTATCAGACTCGCTTTATGTTGTGGGGGTAGTATCAAGGATTGAGGATGCTACTATCAGAGAAGTACAGAATCAGCGACTTTATGAACTGTTTCTTCAACTAAAACGTGCCCTCAGAATTAGAACTGAACCATATTCGGTCATCCATGTTCGTAGTCATAAATGGGACGAAGGGTTAGGAGAAGGAAACGCCAAGGCTGATAAGCTAGTCTCGCTTTCTCATCAAACAGTACTTCCTAGGCAGTCATTAGCACGGGAAAGCCATGCTATTTTCCATCAGAATGCTAAAGGCATGTAGAAAGAATTTCAGATTCCCTTAGAAGAAGCTAGAGCTATAGCCAAAACCTGTCCAATTTGTAGTAATCAAAACAGAGGCATGGGTCTGGGTGTGGGAGTCAACCCAAGGGGCCTGCATGCTAATGAGATATGGCAGATGGATGTTACTCATGTACCCAGCTTTGGCCGCCTTAAGTATGTTCATGTGACTTTAGATACTTATAGTCATTATATATGGGCTACTGCACAGGCTGGCGAACGGGCTATACATGTAGAACGGCACCTGCACAGTTGTATTGCTGTCATGGGAACCCCACAGAAAATCAAAACAGACAATGGTCCAGCCTACTGTAGCAAGCGTGTAGCTCGTTTCATGCAGTTTTGGAACATTGCTCATGTTACAGGGA